CTGCTCCCGCTCGGGCATAAGTCCTTATTCTGGAACACTGTTCCGGAAAAGGGCCAGTGTAGACAGCCCAGTAGTCTTTTCCAGAAAAGCGCGTCTACATTGGCCACAGACGCTTTTCCGGAAAAAGGGCTTTTCCGGAAAAGCAGCCTGCCAATGTAGACGCTCCTTTTCCGGAAAAACTGAAAACGGAATAGTATTCCGTTTTAAGCAGTTCCGGAAATTCATGCCAGTGTAGACACAGCCCCATTATAAATCCCCAATTTTACCAAGCTCAGTCAGATTTGGAGCAAACACCTTTTTTTCACTCCACCCATTATTGGGGGGCAGTTCACAGTTCCTAGTACGCAGGCTGGATTTCCTTCCAACCTCGCTCCACCTTCCCCAGGCCAACCCCACTGTTGTTTTTCAAGCCATCTTGTTGCCTTCAGAAAAGAGGGAGAACACCCTGTAAATCAGCAGATATCTGCAGGTATCCACATCCACAGATAGGAATGTGGATATCCATGGCACATTTTTGCAGATACAGAGGCGGATACAAATTTTGTATCTAGAACCTTGCAAATCTGCAGATAGTCATACTCGCACCCATGGATGTGGATATGATATCCGTGATTCAGTTTTGCAGATACAAATTTTGTATCTGCGCAGGGCTTTAAAGATGGGGGAGAAGAGGTAAAAATGGTCCCTAGTTTTTTCCACCCCCTCTCTTCATTGATGTTTACCCCCAGCTGAGGGGCAGGCGACAATCAGTCTGTAGCATACATGAACTTCCATCCATCCTTCTGTTGAATTGTAATTGTCTTGTTCACAGCTCCCCTGCTGATAAATGCTGGGTGAAGCAATTAATGGCCATTTGGCGCGTGGCTCTGAGGAGGTAGTCTGGACGTCTTCCACATTTCCGACAAATCTCAGTAACAAACATAGAGCAAAATCTCAGAACTCCATGCACAATGGCGAGACACACATTTTATCAGGACAATAATACTCAGCAGACGATGAATTTTTCATGGATAACCTCACAAGGCATGCGTTGTACAAAGTGTATCGTAATTTTTAGAAAGTGGTGACCATAGTTTGGACATTAGGAAAAACTTCCCGTCAAGGGGGTTAAGCACTGGAATAAATTGCCTAGGGAGGTTGTGGACATCATTGGAGATATTAGATAAATACCTGTCAGGGTTGGTCTAGATCCGTGGTGTCCAACACACTAGCCACATGTGGTTTTTGGCAGGTTGAGTGTGGCTAGTTAGCTCACACAATTATTAACATTTTCCGAGTAATGTGGCTAGTTTGCCACATTAGTGACTACTGCTTCAGAACTGGTTGGGCACCATGGGTCTAGACAGTACTGGGTCCTGCTGTCAGGGCAGAGGACTGGACTCGATGACCTCTTGAGGTCTCTTCCAGTTCTAGTGTTCTATGATTCTATCATAGTGTTGACCCCGTAGTTCTCAAAGTTATTTCATTGGGTGCATCTTCCTTGTGCTTATCACCCTCCTTCCCCCCCACCCCGCCCTGCCAACATGAACCATGATCCAGCTTTGAAGGCAGCAGCAGCACCAACACCCTCACAGACGTAAGGGTGATCACGTGAAAAGTGGTATTTGTCAAGATCACAGAAGACTTCATATGATACCTGGTCCCATATGAAGAGGGATTAAAAAGACTTGGACTTTTCAGCTTAGAAAAGCGGAGACTAAGGTGGGATAGGATAGAAGTCTATAAAATCATGAGTGGTGTGGAGAAAGTGAATAAGGAAAAGTGATTTACTTACTCCCACAATACAAGAACTAGGGGTCACCAAATAAAATGAAAAGGCAGCGGGTTTAAAACAAATAAAAAGTTTTTCTTCACTCAGTGCAGTCAGCCTGTGGAACTCCGGCCCCCCACACAAGCTGATCCAGCCCAGATAGGCCCTGTCGCTTTCTCCCACTCCCAGGCCAATCAGGGTCTGTGGGTGGGAAAGCGCGGGAGTATTCTGGCCCCGCCTCTTCTGCCTGAGGCCCCGCCCCTTCCGGGGCAGCCCGGGGCCACTTAAAACATTTCTGAAATGGCCCCTGGTCAAAAATGTTGCCCACCCCTGATCTAGACAGAGCTTTGTCCTGCCATGAGGGCAGGGGACTGGACTCAATGACCTCTCGAGGTCCCTTCTAATTCTAGGAGTTCTGATTTGTACCAGGGACAGGGAGACGGAGGCAAGATTTCAGAGAGTTTTAGCAGAGTGGGAAGTTTGAGGTGCCTAGGAGAGGTCAGAAGGTCTGGGTGACCTCACTGGGCTTTTCCATTCCAGACCACATGGGCATTGTTTCAACCTTCCCTCTGCACTGGGCTGTCATTGAATGTGAAACAAAGGATGCTGGAAGTGGGAGGAACTAAAGGCTACTTTATTACTTCAAAGGACAAGCAAAAGCCAGACTCCTTTCCCCACCCCCAGCCCAGCCCGTTGCTGCGCCTGACTCTCTCATAAATTAGCAACACTAACCCTACGCGGGGGGAGAGAGAGCAGGGATTGCAAAGAGCTCAGGTAGGAGAGATGCAGTGTTGGGTGAGCGGGGCGGACACATTCGCTGCCATCTTCACGCAGGACACTGCGGTAGATGAGGGAAGGGGCGCTCAGCTGGGCTGTCAGGTCCCTCATCTCTTTCTGGCCTCCATGATGGGAGTTTGCCTGGTTTCCAAGCTGCCCAGGTCCCCTGACTTCTCTGGCTTCCTTCTCTCCTCTGCCCAGCCTCGTCTTCTCAACAACCAAGGATACTGCCTCCTCCCTACAACATTCCTCTTGGGCACGATTCACAGCACTCTACAATTCAGGCATAGCTTGACTAATGTTCCCTCCAATTTTTTTCCCTCCATGTGAGGAATACATTTTTTTCTGTGCACCAAGGCATGTGCGGATGTGCACCACCAATAGAAACATGGGCTGCCAGCTGTGGGCGCTATGCTAATCAGCTGGGCAGGCACCTGGATCTTGCCTGGGCAGCTGCCCAAACACTCAAACTTACAGGGAACACTGAGCTTGACTCAACACTTGCAGGGTAATTCCTGTCACTCTTGGGCACTGCTGCAGCGATGGAAACTAATCCTTGTCATTGTTCAAAGAAAAAAAGAGAAAGGTTCACATTAAATTAAAAAGGACTGTTCTGGCAAATCAACATTTTGCCTCATGAAAAATCCAAGCGACATCCACACAGACTATCTCATATCAAAATACGGGACCAAATGGCCTTTGGGAACAGAAAACCTCCCCACAATCTAGGGCAGGCTAGAAAACATTTTCACATTCATAAAGTCTCAAGATCCGGAAAAGAAATATTCCCATTTTCTTCGGAAGGGGCTTAATCTGCTTCCCTTCTCGCCTCGTTATGTGGTCACTCGTTACAAGAGTTTTAGCATCGTAGTCACCAAACCAAACCAAACCAACAACCCATCTACAAATGATCTGGACTAGACAGACACTGGAAGCAATCTGACCAAGAAATGAAAACGGCGCCGTAAGATGAAAAAGATCAAACTGGGCCTTCAGTCTCATTTGGATTCCCTTCCAGCTCTGTGACACTTTCTTCTCCAGACCCCTGGCGTCTGACCTATGACCACAGACTCCATACTTACAGCTTCTTCTGACAGAAAACAGGACAACAGGGTCAGTACCCACATTGGCTCTTTCTCTAATGTCAGACAGCGAGGAATGCACTTTGCAGTGTTGACCTCCACGTCCTTTGAAATGAGATCTTTTCTTTCAAGGTTCTTCATTTGCTTTCCACTCGGCTTCTTCCTCATTGGATGGGTTAGAGAGGGCTATACACAATGTGAACTTTCGCTACATGACAACTAGAGAAGTGAAAACAATGCGTGTCGTTTAAACGCCAACTACACACTTACACATTGAACACCACCTTGATCTACCCTAACACACAAGTGAACTGGCATGAGCTGGCACCTGATCTTCCTGGTGGAAGATTCGAGAGAGGGGCCAGCTAATCCCATAGAACTTATCATAGAACTCAGAGGCTGAAGTGGTGGAGGCAGCGGTGGGATCTCCAGGCCTCCCATCAAAGGCCCTGTGGGAATCAGCCCCTCTCAGTGGCCCTGTCAGAATGCCGATGGGGCAGGCAGAGGGGGTGAGTGAGGAGAGGCAGCATCTCTCTACCCCAAACTCTCCCTCACCTCTTATCCCCTGACTCCCAAACACTCGATAGCTCCCACAACCCCCACCATTCAATTCCCAGTGTCCCCCCCAGAACCCATCACCCTGGTCCCTTCATGTCTGATTCCCCAGACATTCTCCACCACCCTGGGGGGCAACTGGGGAGGGGAGGAGTTAGCAGCTCCAGGAACAACCCCTGCAGGGCGCAGCCCCAGGTCAGCGGGGGAGCCCGGCTCAGGGGCTGGTGGAAGATGGGGGAGGGGGACAGGTGTCTAGAGTGAAGCTGAAGCCTGGTCCACGTGTCCTTCTCCTCATCTCCATGGCGGGGGGATCCTGGCAGGGAAGAGAAGGAAAGGGAGAGGGGGGAACTTCAGCCAGGCAGAGGGAGAAAGGGAAGGGAGAGGGGGGAACTTCAGCCAGGCAGAGGGAGCAGCTGGAGGAGTTTCTCTCTCTCCCTCCCCTCATCTGTGGCCCAGCAGCTCAGCAGCCAGGGTGGCAGCAGGGAGGTGGAGCTGATGGAAGCGTCCCTTCCTCTGCCTGGGGTTTGCTGAGACCAGGCAGAGCCAGAGGGTCACTGACCAGCTGCCGCTGGATCCTTACCCCAGCCCTGGGCAGCTGGGAGCCCCCTGCCCCTGATGGGTGTGAGAACGAGGGGATGGGTCTATCACCATGGCCTGCCTCAGCCAGGGCCCTGAGAGAATGTCCCTGCTGTGGGGGGAGTCTCTGATGTCTAACATGGTGTGAGCGCCACTTGGAGCGTTTTCCACACTGAGAACAGCTCAGAGGTTACTTCCCTGTGCGGATTTGCAGGTGCCTGATACTCCAGGAGCACCCAGCGAAGCTTCCCCCACATTCAAAGACTCTCTGTTGTGTGGATCACTGATGTGTGAGCTTGCATTGAGTCTTTTCCCGCAATCAAGGTATTCCTAGGGTCGCCTATCCCTTTGTGAGTTCTCAGGTGTTTAGTAAGGTAGGAGCTCTTCCTGAAACATTTCCCACAGACCAGGCATTTATGAGGTTTATAGCCTGTGTGGATTCTCTGATGTATGATGAGGTTCGATCGCTGAATGAAACTGTTCCCACAGTCCAAGCACTTATGGGGTCTCTCGCCTGTGTGGATCGCCTGGTGCCTAATAAGGGACGACCTGTTTGTGAAACATTTCCCACACTCTACACACCCGTGGGGCCTCTCTCCTGTATGGACAGCCTGATGTCTAACCAGGGTTGATCTCTGAATGAAACTTTTCCCACACTCCAAGCATTCATGGGGTCTCTCTCCCGTGTGGATCGCCTGGTGTCTTAGGAGGGCGGATCTGTGTGTGAAACTTTTGCCACAGTCCAAGCACTTATGAGGTCTCTCTCCTGTGTGGATTCTCTGGTGTATAATCAGGGCTGATCGCTGGGTGAATCTTTTCCCACACTCCAAACATTTATTGGGTCTCTCTCCAGTGTGGATTGTATGATGGGTACTCAGGGATGACTTCTGACTGAAACATTTCCCACAATCCAAACATTTGTAAGGTCTCTCTCCTGTGTGCATTCTCCGATGCTTAGTAAGGTAGGAGTTGTTCTTGAAGCACTTCCCACAGTCCAAGCATAAGTAGGGCTTTTCCCCCATGTGGATTCTCCGATGAGCAATAAGGTCGGAACTGAGAACAAAACTCTTTCCACAGGGCAGGCATTTATAGGGACTGTCTCCTGTATGCATGGTCCGATGTTTGGTGAGATAGGAGCTGTTCTTGAAACTTTTCCCACAGTCCAAGCATTTATAGGGCTTCTCTCCTGTGTGGATTGTCTGATGGGAAAGAAGGTTTGTTCTCTGAATGAAACTTTTCCCACAATGAAGGCATTTATGAGGTTTATTTCCTGTGTGGATTCTCAGATGTCTAAGAAGGTGTGAGCGCTGAATGAAACTTTTCCCACAGTCCAGGCATTTATAGGGTCTCTCTCCTGTGTGGATCGTCTGATGTGTGATCAGGGCCGATCTCTGCGTGAAGCTTTTCCCACAGTCCAAGCACTTGTGGGGTTTTTCTCCCGTGTGGGTTTTCTGATGCATAATCAGGGTGGTCTTCTGACTGAAACAGTTCCCGCACTGGAGGCATTTATAGGGTCTGTCTCCCATGTGGATTCTACGATGCTTAGTAAGGTTGGAGCTGTTGCTGAAGCTTTTCCCACACTCCAAGCACTTATGGCGTCTCTGTCCGGTGTGGGTGGCCTGATGTGTCAGAAGCGCCGACGTCCAATTAAAACACTTCCCGCATTCGAGGCAGGGGTAGCGTCTCTCCCCTGTGTCAATGCTCCCGTAGAGGTCAAGGTTTGCGCTGTTACGGGCTGTCTGATGTGTAATAAGGTGTGATCTCAGAATGAAGCCTTTCCTATCCGGGAGGCACTGATAGGGTTCCTCTTCCTTCAGACTGGCCAGCAGGGCGGGGGGATCATCCATTTGCTTCCTTGGGTGGCTTCCCAGCAGCCTCTCTGGCCTGTGCCAGTTTCCCCAGGCGTCTCCCTGTTCCAAGTACTGGGAAAAGAGCTTTTCAGGTCTTCCTGCAACATTTCCCCATGGTTCCACTTGCCTAGGAAGTTCCTCATCATTTCCCTCCTGCTTCTCACTCTCTGTTTCATCACCTGCTGGGAGAGAGACACAATCCAAGAGGAGTCGGTGAGCTGAGGAGAAAGACGAACAGCACCACGGGAAAATACTCTGCAGTTGCACAGGCTGAGCAATGGGATTCTGCCTCCACTTCCCACACAAACACTCACAGGGAAGGAAACTCCTGCAACTCACCGCCCTGAGCAATATCTGCTGGCTACAGCCCTGCCCTGCGTGAGTGGCAGAACTCAGGGCGCTTACTCACACCACACTTTGGGGATTCTCAACGTTTTCCGTCATTCCCCAGCTGGTTTCTGTGTCAGTCCTCACCTGTGCGGGTGCCTCTCAGGATCTCTCTTTCCTCGCTGGCCTGGAGGTCGGGCACCCAGGGCTCTTCCCCTCGTTCCAGCCGGGTGATCAGCTCAGGTTTGGGAACGGGAAACCCTGCGCAGGGGGTGAAATCAGAGCAGTTCAGGGCGTGTAGAGGGTGGGGAGAGCATCTGTCCCAAGGGACATTCCGTGAGTGGAACCTGTCCCCGGGCTCTGCTGGGGAATGTGCAACCCAAGAGGACGGGAACATGGTCACTGAGCCCCCTGGGGAGAGGCCCCGACGTCTGGGCAGGTGAGGGGAATTTTTACACCCTCTCTAGGAGTTCCCGGGCCCTGGGCAGTCTGGGGACCTTGCTGCCACTCACAGCTCTGCAGTTAAAGCCCTCCCCACGGCTGAAGGAAGTCTCAAAAGGGGGTGAGAGGAGAAAATGGGTTCTGTGTGCAACTAAGAAACAAGGCACAGCTTCTCTCTCTTGAAAACATGAGGGGTGGGGATGATTTAGCACGTCCATTAGGGTTTGACACCCTGGTCTCACTGCACAGGATGGGGAGATGCAAGTCGCTCTCCCCCGGCAGCTGTGCCCATGGAACCCATTCCTGTCCAGGCCACCTGAGCAGGGAAGAACCTGACCCGTGTCGGACACGCAGACCCCACGGCTCCTAATCCCCGAGGGGCCAGGACGCCCTTACCCAGCGAGGTCACCGCCTCGTAGTTCTCCTGCATGACGTCCCTGTAGAGGGCTCTCTGAGCGGGGCCCAGCAGCGCCCCCTGCCCCTGGGTGAAATACACAGCCACCTCCTCGAAGGTCACCTGCATCTGAAACCAGAAAGGCGAGTGATGCAGGATCCCACCCTCACCCTGCTCTGAGCAGCCAGGTAGCTTCAGGGGGTGGGGAGAAGGTGAGAGCTCCTTCTGCCTCCTCGGGTCTTCTCATGTGCCACGTCCCTCCCAGCCCTACTCGTCAGCCTGTGGAATAGGGACCCCCAAGAGCTTCCCTTCATGTTCCACAGCAGCCTCTGGCCAGCAGCATCAGGCCCCAACCCAGCCCTGCCCACGGTGGAGGGTCCTGATTCAGAAATGGGGGAATATCTCTCCCACCCCTGTCACGTCCCGCCGAGAAAATCAGGCCTGGGCTGAATATGTCCCAGCAGATTTATCACATCCTGTCTCCTCTCTGCCTCTTCCTCCTGCGTGTTTCCTCCCCCTCCCCTTGCACAGCAAACACACCTGAAAACCCCCTACCTGAGCGGACTCCATCCCAGCCATTGCCCGGCCCCTGGCAGACGGGCGCTCTGGGGCGAATTCTCGACGTGTCTCCTCGGCCTGTCGGAGCGAGAGGGGAGATGGAGGAGGTTATAGAAGGAGACTGAATTTATTTCACATGCTAATCCCTCACGGGCTCTCCCCCAGCAAACAGAAGCTCTAGAAGAAACCCAGTTTGGAACATAAGAACGGCCTCACTGGGTCAGACTAAAAGTCCATCCACCCCAGTATCCTGTCTGCCAACAGTGGCCAATGCCAGATGCCCCAGAGCGAAGGAACACAACAGGTAATCCCCACATGATCCCTTTCCTGTCATCCATTTCCAGCCTCTGATAAACAGGGGCTAAGAACACCATTTCTACCCAGCCTGGCTAAAAGCCATTGAAGGACCTAACCTCCATGAATTTATCTAATTCTTTTTTGAACCCTGTTAAAGTCCTGGTCTTCACAACATCCTATGGCGAGGAGTTCCACAGGTTGATGACTGTGTGAAGTTAGTGTATCATCACCCAGGTCAGGTTCCTTCCAGCAGTAGTTTTAAACTTTTCCCGTAACAGCATCTCTGAGCTGAATGCTAGAAAAAGACCAGAATCGAAGGAGCCGCTTTGGGGAATCCTTTTGTCATTGGCCCCCAAGGGCAGGGTGTCCCCCCAGCAGCATGGGGACTCGCTCGGGACCAGACCTGGCTTTTCCTCTCTCAGATTCTCCCCTAGGAGAGTTGGTCTACCAGGGTGGGGTGCAGGGATATATATCCGGGCCGGGCTGGGAGCTGGGAACCTCCCTCCACACTTATTGCTCCAGCTTGTTTCAGTCTGGTCACGCTTGGTTCCTATCTCCTTCCCTCTCTCCCATTTCCTCTGCCAGGTGACTGTTCTCATCTGATCTGTGACTGCCGATGCTCACAGCAGCAGGAGCCCCGCAGACCACCGGGAGCAGAAATGCGGCAAGAAGCGGCTGTTTTTGCAGAGTCCTTTTTCTGTCGGGTCCCAGCCTTCTCCCCCGCCCCCCGAAGTCTCACCCTCCAGACTCTCCAGGCGCCAGCTGGGCCCAGAGGGGCTGGGACAAAGGTCTCTTCCCTGCTGTCTAAGAAGCAGAGTCTCAGTCTGGGATCCCAGGTCAAAATGGAGGCGGCTGCAGCTTCTGACTCAGGACTCTGCCCCCAGGGCTGTGATAACAGGAGTAGGGAGAGAGACACGCCCAAGCTTCTCCGCTCCCCGAGCCATCCCCGGAGCCCTTTGCTGGCAGCAGCTCCTGTCTGAACTTCCCTGTCCAGCCCTGCAGGCCCCAGAGTCAAGCAGGCAGAGGCTCATCCCACTGGCCCGTCTACACACACCCCTGCCAGAACCAGCAGTGACTCCAGTTTGACACCGGTGTAGCGAGATCTAAATCTTGCCCAGCAATCGAGCGAGGCCCCCAGCAGCCCTGTCATGTAAAAACCAGAAGGAAAGGTGGGGGTATTTCTGTATTAAGCTACACTGCACTGCTATTTTGGGATACCAGAGTCTCACGAAATAGCTATCCCGCATCTTCATAGGAAGCCCATTATTTTGGGCTTGCCCTTCCGACATCCCTGTAAACCTCATTCCACGAGGAGTAAGGGAAGTTTCAGAACAGCGGGTTATTTCGAAATTTGGCGCTGTGTAGACAGGGCCAAATGGCGACGTAAGCTATTTCGAAATAAGACCGAAATAAGATGCACAATTTGCGTCGCTCAAATTGTGTCGCTTATTTCGAATCACGGTACAGTGTAGACGTAGCCTTTGTCTCTTTTCATTGGCAAATAGGGCACAGACTTTCTGCAGCACACAATCCTTTAAGGCGCACACAACAATTTTTTTTAATTGTATCCTTTGGTATATATAGTGATAGAAATGTAGCTGTGTTAGTCTGGTGTAGCTGAAACAAACCCCGTTGTCAGCTTTGTCCACATAGTCACTCTGCTGATACCATTATTGGACCTAACCAAGTGAGTTATAAGATCAAGAATACATATTCCTGCGCATCCAGAAATATAATTTATGCAATCATGTATATGCCGAAAGTGTCCGTCTGCTATGTACATTGGACAAACGTCTCAGACACTTTGCCAAAGGATCAATGCCCACAAAACAGATATTAGATAGGATCACAAAGAAAAAACAGTTTCTTGCCATTTCAACCAGAAAGGACACGGTCTCAACGACTTAATTACCTGCATCCTGCTTCAGAAGCCTTTTAAATCTGCACTTGAAACCTCTGTTCTGAAATGTGATTTGTCCTTTTCATATCTGTTCATTTTTTTAATTGTATCCTTTGGTATATATGGTTGTGACTATTTTCTTCTACTATTTGATCTGAGGAAGTGGGTCTGGCCCACAAAAGCTCATCATCTAATAAACCATCTTGTTAGTCTTTAAAGTGCTACATAGTCCTGTTTTTTGTTTCAGCTACACCAGACTAACACGGTTACATTTCTATCACAACACGGAGAGCAGCGCAAAACACTATCACGACAGTTTTTGGCACAGGGATGGCCATCTTCTCAGGCCTTTTCCTCATTACTGAAATCGAAGTGCTTTGTTCTCACGAGCGATGCAAAATCCCGTTTAACCAATTAACTGGTGAGACATTGTGATTAACTGCTCCAGCCCACTGCTTAACCATTCAAATCCCTACTCCTCACGGTGTTTTCACCTGCGAATCGCTCCTTAGTGAAGTACAGAAACCACTTCTCTCCACAGCGAGGGGAAAGGCCTACGGGCGAGACTCACAAAGGATATTATGCTGCTGAGCCTCACAAGCAATATTCCTCTCAATTTTCCCATCCATGTGCGGATTACATTTTGTGATGTGCACTGAGGCATGGGCCTCAGTAGACACACATGCTGTGGGCGCTCTGCTAATCAGCTGGGTGGATTAGAAACTCTCCTGGAGGGGATGCCCAAGTGCAGTTTGCAGGGAACACTGCCACAATGTTAATCTGTTAGACGCCTAAGCTATGTCTACACTGGCAGCTTCTTGTGCAAAACCAGCTGTTCTTGCGCAAAAACTTGCCTGCTGTCTACACTGCACGCACGTTCTTGCGCAAGTAAATTTACAGTATAGCATTGTAAAACAGGGCTTCTTCCAGAAGAGTTATTCCTCTTCCCACGAGGAATAAGCCCTCTTGTGCAAGAGCTCTTCCACAAGAGGGCAGTGTAGACAGGCAACATGAATTTCTTGCGCAAGAAGCCCCTATGGTTAAAATGGCCATCAGAGCTTTCTTGCACAAGAGAGTGTCCACACTGCCACGGATGCTCTTGTGCAAAAGCACATGCCAGTGTAGACGTGCTCTTGTGGAAGAGTTTTTCCACAAGAACTCTTCTGCAAAACAGTTCTTGCGCAAGACGCTGCCAGTGTAGATGTAGCCCTAGAGAGTCACGGGGAGTCAGGGTGATCCACAAAGCGGAGTCAATCAGTAGGAGTGCCTAAGAACGGAATCATAAAAAGCAAAGGTGCTAAGACAGTGATCCCCAAACTTATCAGGATCATGCCTGCCCCCTTCCTGAGCCAGAATTGGGGACAGCCTGGTCGGCAGGAGGGAATGAGGAAGCCGTGGCTGGGACCACAGCAGGGATGGGGTGGGTCAGAGGCTGGCTACTAGGGATGTTAGTATTATGAATAGTGATAGAGATGTAGCCGTGTTAGTCTGGTGTAGCTGAAACAAAATACAGGACTATGTAGCACTTTAAAGACTAACAAGATGGGTTATTAGATGATGAGCTTTCGTGGGCCAGACCCACTTCCTCAGATCAAATAATGGAAGAAAATAGTCACAACCATATATACCAAAGGATACAATTTAAAAAAAATGAACACACATGAAAAGGACAAATCACATTACAGAACAGAAGAACTGGCATTCATGCTAAAATTCGACACCCTCCGCACCGGACTTAACAAAGACCCCAACTATCTTACACATTACAAAGATAGCTTCCCCAATTATCACCTCTAATACTATTAACTCACAGACATTTCCCCTTCCCCACCTCTAATATTAACTCACTGGCATTCACCTTCCTTCCCCCCCCCCATTCCCCTTCTGTTCTGTAATGTGATTTGTCCTTTTCATGTGTGTTCATTTTTTTTTTAAATTGTATCCTTTGGTATATATGGTTGTGACTATTTTCTTCCACTATTTGATCTGAGGAAGTGGGTCTGGCCCACGAAAGCTCATCATCTAATAAACCATCTTGTTAGTCTTTAAAGTGCTACATAGTCCAGTGTTATGAATAGTTATTCATTTAAAAAGCTAATAAGCCTGGGTTATCGGTTACTCCAAACAACTACACCTCCCCTTTGCTGCCTTTGATACAATGGGAGCGGGGGAGAGCCAGTGTTCCATATGTGCCAGTTTCGGTGTCATCTCTCCCCCCACCGGATGTCTCCAATAGAGAGGTGGCAGTACAGAGGATGAGGGTGGGCGGGAGCAGGTGCACGTGGAAAGCTGGCTTTCAAGCAGGCTCCCTGCACATATGGGCTCCCACGGAGCTACCTGCCCTCCCTCCCTGCGCTGCTGCCTCTGTAGCAGAGGCAGCAGCACGGGGAGGAGAGGGCAGGC